CCTCCACTTTAGGTGTATATGGCTGGTGCCTTAGCCACTTGAGCCACAGGCGCCGAGCCAGAAAATACATTCTTAATGAACACTGTAAGCACCTATTCCTTATTCTCAAGCTCTGTTTTTCTTTTCTTCTTCTTCTTTGTGTATATGTGTGTGTGTGTGTGTGTGAGAGAGAGAGAGACAGAATCTCTCTTTGTTGCACTCAGTAGAGTCTGTGGCATTATAACTCACAGCAACCTCAAACTCTTGGGCTCAAGTGCTTCTCTTGCCTCAGCCTCCCGAGTAGCTGGGACTACATGTGCCTGCCACAATGCCGGCTATTTTTTAGAGATGATGTCTCGCTCTTGCCTGGGCTGGTCTTGAACTTGTGAGCTCAGGCAATCCACCCACCTTGGCCTCTCAGAGTGCTAGGATTATAGGTGTGAACCATCGTGCCTGGCCAAGCTCTTTTTTTTTCTTTAAAATGTATTTCAAAAAATAATACATGTTCATTATATTTGTAAACAAAAAGGAGAAAAGAGAAGTCACCAGTTGTCCAGCCATCCAGAGTTAAGAATGATTAACAATGTGGTACATATCACACTGCACTTCCCCTTTGTGCACGCAGATACAAACACACATATTCGGCAAGTATCCATTCTCAATAGTAATAGGATCATGGCATACAAGATGCTCATCATTTGCTTTGTCTCATTTCTATGTTAATGTAGTCATATCTTTTGGGGTATTCTCAATGTATGATAAAAAGTGGATGAACTTCTTGTGTTCATCTTTTATTATGATTTCCTTAGGATACTGCTTAGAAATAGAACTGTGACACTGGAGAGTATGCTCTTTTTTAGGGCTCCTGACTTACTGCCACATTGCCATAGGAATTTAAGTTCCCGGTAGTGTGTGTCTCTTCTCACACATTTGTGAGTATTATTGTTTTTTAAACTACTGCCATATCATAAAAGGAAACTTGCATCTTATTGTTTATATTTCCTTTTTATTGAGGTTGAATAGTTTGAGATATGTTTACTGACCATTTCTATTTTTTATTTTATAATTCTTCTGCTAAAGTACTCTGCCCATTTTTCTATTGGGGTATATATATCTTTTCCTTATCTTTTGTAAACATTTTTGTTACATTTTACAAAGTAATTTTTAAATAAAAATTTACAACTAAAAGAAATATTTTACTCATTCTATTTTCTTAATGTTTTTGGTGATAGTATTTGCTGCCTTTAATTTTTGTCTATGGTTTTGTAAAGTGCATATATACTAAAAAAATTATTTACTTTGGCTTCTAAATCCATTTTTACTATCATTTGGAATATGTCTTTTCTCTCTTTCTCTTTTTTTTTTTTTGGCCAGGGCCAGGTTTGAACCCACCACCTCTGGTATACAGGGCCAGCACCCTACTCCTTTGAGCCACAGGCACCATCCTGTCTTTTTTCTCTTTATCTAAATCTTTACCTTTCTTCAAGAGCCATTCCAGTCTTTATTTCCCTTTTCTAAGCTATTGTATCTAATGAGCATAGCATTAACACTACTTGTTTCATATATATAATTTTTCTCCTTCCGTTTAGATTCTCAACTCCTGAAAAGCAAGATTGAGGTGTATACATTTTGTAATTCACCACAATATTAGGAATCCATAAATACCAGAGCCTTGCTTGTCCTTAGGCAACCTTCTCTCTCTATCCTATCCTCTTTCTACTTCAACTATATCCCACCTCACCCCAACCCTCCAAGGGGCTTAAGTTTCCTTTAACAAATTATTTCCCGTGCTCATTTCTATCTTAGCAACATTCATGAAAAAGTCCTTCTCTGCTTTGGATACATTAAAATATTTTTTCTTAATCCCTTTACAGTTTTAAAGGCCAAGGTAGAAAGTTTGCCTGAGGCCAGGAGTTCGAAACCAGAAAAATCAGCCAAGTGTGGTATCATGTGCCTATAGTCCTAGTTACCTTGGGAGGCTGAGGCAGGAGAATTACCTGAGCCCACAAGTCTGAGGTTGCTGTGAGCTATGATGATGCCATTGCACTCTAGCCTGGGTGACAGAGCAAGACTCTTATTCAGAAAAGAAAACAAATCTAGTATTCGAAAAAAACAAGGTAGAATTATGAAAAGTAGAGAACAGATGGAAAACCAATTCATTAGTACCTAGTTCTAAAAGAATTTCATTTATAACAGAATCCATTTAATTCACTGTAGGTCTAAATACGGCAAACATATCTGTTTAATGTATTTTAGATAGGGACAAAAGAAATCAATGTCTGTTCCAAATACAGATCTATAACGACTGTTCCATAAGGCTATGGAGGAGAGGAAAGCAGTTCTTTATTTTTAACACTGCCATATGCAGCTTAACAATGGTAGAAGTAAGTCTGTTTTAAATGCCTTAACTGTGCAAGTAAGTGGGGTATTCCTAACTACAGAGATTCTTAATGGTCCTGAAACTTGCTGGGTAGCAGATTATACTATGTTTTATTTCCAAAGATTTATTTGGTAGTTGTTTATAGTCAGCATAGTGATTTTCCCCACACTAATACAGAGATCACAGAGAATCAGAACTCAGAGGGCAGTTTTCTAAAACATCTGCCTTTGCTTGAAAAATTAATCCTGAGTACACAAGTGTAAAGCAAAAAGAAAAGGCAGAGGAAGAAAGAACTGAGTAAAGCTTCTAATTCAGCAGCAAAGTGGACCACGGGGAGCAAACAGCAACATACACTTGTTATGAGAACAGGAGTGGAAAATTATCACAAACTAAGATGTTACTGAACTTGATGCAAATATTTTTTAAAAGTTGAAAATACTATAGGGTATTGTCTTTTTTTTTTTTTTTTTTTTTGAGACAGTCTCACTCTGCTGTGCTGGATAGAGTGCCATGGCATCATCATAGCTCACTGCAACCTCAAACTCTTGGGCTCAAGTCATCCTCTTGCCTCAGCCTCTCAAGTAGCTGGGCCTACAGGCATGAGCCACCATGGCTGGCTAGACGTTCTATTTTAGTAAAGATAGGGTCTCAATCTTGCTCAGGCTGCTCTCAAACTCCTGAGCTCAAGCAGTCCACCTGCATCAGCTTCTCAGAGTGCTAGGATTACAGGCGTGAAACACCAAGGCTGGCCTGTAGGGTATTGTCAATACTAGGAAAGTAGTTCTTTCACAATAGGTTATACACTGTTAATTTGTATTTTATGT